CCAAATAGATAATGACCACACTTATTATTATTATTATTATTATTATTATTATTATTATTATTTTCAAACAATATATAGATAGACACACACAAACAAAATGGTTGAGTGATAGCAGCTGAATAGAATAGTATAGGTCTTATAGTTTCAACAAATCAATAACATGTTCTTCATCTTTCCTCTTCTCTCTCTCTGTCTCTTGTTCCTCCATCTTCTCTCTTTATCTTCCCTTTTCTCTCTATCCCTCTTCCCTCATTTTTAGTTTTTTTTTTTTTTTTTTTTTTATGCTTCAGGAACAAGCATAAAGAAGTTGATCCCTTTTATCTTAAAAAAAGGGGGGGGTAATCAAGCCTCTCTGATTCAAATCATTCAAAATGTCTTTCTTGACATAGAAATCTAAAAAAATATGGAAATAAATTGCGTCCAATAGGATTTGAACCTATACCACGGCCGTAATGGGTGGCGGTCCTATCCATTAGACAATGGACGCCTTTCATTTATTCCGATTTTTTTCGCCTTTTTACTTTCCTTTCCTGCCTCTTGTTTGGAAAAAGTGTGATTATGGGAATTGGATTGTATGTGAGATATTTTCAGGAATTGTATATTTAATTCAACGGTGCATTAATTCTTAATTAATATAGAGAGTAATTCATTCTTTATATTTCTTTTTATTAATTAATAAAGAAATATAAAGAATGAATATATGAATTAATATATAGAGTATATAAGAAAGGATCTAGAGCGGTTAGCGGGAATCGAACCCGCATTGTTAGCTTGGAAGGCTAGGGGTTATAGTCGACGTCGATTCAGCATTTTTAACGTCTCTAATTCAAAACCGAACATGAAACTTTGGTTTCATTCGGTAACTACCACAACCGTTATGTAACAGTTGCGGCCGCTTTTTAAAACCTTGACTATGAATTTTAAATGTCCCATGGAACATTTCCTTGGGCTTCCACAAATTGGGCTTCCACAAATTGTGAGTGACACCAAGCAACATATTATGAACATACCAAATATTATGAATATACAAAATGAGCCCTTCTAACAGTTAACATACGTTCAATCCTTTCATCATATAATGTCTCAAAAGGTCATTAGGACATTGAGGTTTGTCAAACCCCGCGGAAGGAAGTGAGGACCAGGGGGTCACATGCCCCCCCTGGATTTTGGGCTTTTTTTTTTTTTTTTTGGCAAATATAAAGAAAATATTTTAAATAAAAAAAATTACAAAAATATTATTAGAGTGAAATGTCAATGACATTTTAACAATTATGAGAATAATAATGGTTATTTTGATTGAAAATGAAGAGACTATTATAAACCATATTATCTATGAAAATTTTATGAAATTTTTTGAATGTAACGGTGATGTCATTATTATTGACATGCAAGTATAAGTAATCCTACTATAAAGATATGAAATTTATTAGATTGTTAGTTATATTTGACATGTGAGGTTCACTCTCTATGTGTTTATTTACTATTAATTGGTGATATCACATATTAATGATGACGTGTTATTTCCATTATGTTGAATTTTTAATCACATTTTGTTTAAAAAAATAATTTATCATTATATAATTTATTTTAAGACATATCTATATTTTTTTATATTGTCCATGATACACTAGTTATAAATAACATTGTTTTTTTATGTTTCTCAA